GTGGCTGGATGGGTGGGTTCTGGCCAAAGTGCAGCCCTGGGCAGGTTTAGTTTCGCCTTGGAGCCCTTTCTACAGTGCAACGAGAAGGAAAGAGTTCCCAAGGTCTTTGCAGTCTTATCACCGCTCCTCAGAGCGCAGCCTGACTGTGGAAAGCCAGGGACGACCCAGAGCTGACGAGGACATTGGGACATCGACTGAGATGGCAGAGGCTCAAGGTGAGAGAACAACCTGTGCCCTCATCTGCTCAGCTCCTGTAAGCACGAGAGGGGACCTTCCCCAAGCTCCTGCTGCCCTCCACCCTGTCCTCTGCACCAGCTCATGCCAAATTATTCTTCATTCACTCACTTGCTGATTTCTGGAGGAGAAAACTTTCCAGTTTTAGCTGGATACTAAGGCCCAGGAAGTCACAGGATCTTTTAAACTGCGTTTCCTAGCGGAGGAATTGGTGTTTTAGTTTCTCTGCTCTGCGTGGGGACAAAGCACGCGATCGCCATAGGGGGAGTGGGGATGGGATGCCTGCAGGAAGTTTTCTTCACCCATCTATACCATTAATTTAAGGGAGGCACCCTTGCGGTAGCGTCTCGATCATGCCAATCCTGCTCTGCTCTTCCTGCTCTTCCCTTAAATGTCCAAGAAAAATGACAGCCAGGAGGACTTGGCCTGGCTGAGGGGACTTGGGGGCTGATCCGAGGTTTGCTCTAGTGTCTCCCCTTGGGCAAATGATTTTGGAGACCTGAAGTGAGGTCTGTGTCAAGGCTGATTAGAGAAAGGAAAAGACTTTCAAAGCGGAGAGATTTCAGCACCCAGGCATTTTGGCTGTGAAGAGCTGTGCTGGCCATCCCTGGCTCCTGGGATTCCCCGGGCAGCTCTGATGAGACTGGGCAGCAGAGTTTAGGCAGCTGCCTGAAGCAGACACCTACCCCAGGTCAGGGGAGCCACCACCTAGACCTTACCTCCAGGGATTATGAGGGTAATGAGCTCGAATGTCCAAACCCGGGTGATTTGACTTTCATTCCCATACACTTTAATTCCGTGCTCCGCATTCAGACTACGTAGAAGGAAGAAATGGTTTACACTGAGGGTGGTGAGACTGGCACAGGCTGCCCAGAGAGGCTGTAGATGTCCCATCCCTGGGAACATTCCAGGTCACGGTGGATGGGACTCTGAGCAACTCAGAGGCGTCTTCATGAACATTTCGGGGACGGGCAACGCCGAGAGCAAAAGGGATGAAATGTGGAAAGAGGCGGCTGGCAGGTTGCCCTGCAAGAGGAAAAGGACAACGTAATGAACCTCTCTGCTTCACCCCCCTCCCCCAGCACTTCTTTCCTTTCCTGCTCAAGCTCAGTTTCTTCCCTTCCTCCTTCTGCACTGACGTGCAACCTCCTTCTGCAACCGCACGCAACGCTGCAAAGGTAGAGCTGGGCCAAAAGTCGGCTGCCTCACTACACACAAAAGCCTCTTCTTTTTTGAACTACACAGGAAGAAGAAGCATCAGCACGAAAGAAGACCCTTA